CGCACCGTTTCAATTTCGAAAAAGGCTTCAGGACCGCGGCCTCCTCAGCCTCCTCCGCGCAGCTACCGGTCCTACACGGTCCTGGCCCTTGCAAGGCCCCAAAACCTCAAAATGCCCACCCTCCCGACGACCACGACGTTGAAATGACGTTGAACGTTGAAATGTCTCAGGGGGGGAAAACGCAACCCTGACGGGCTGCGAACATGCAGGAGCTGCACCCACCAGCAGGTGCAATACCTGCTACACCAGGTGGGCGATACCGGCCAGGGGTCAGCCGGTAGCATCAGGACCGAGCTTCTTCGATGGGCCAGTCACTGCGCCTCCCCTCCGGTCCCCTCCCCCTATGAACAGCAGCAGTCTCTGCTCAATGCCACTCGGGGGGACCAACGGCATATCTCTAGGTGGCGGGTGCCAAGCTTGCCCAGGAAGGTGCATGAGGCCAATGGGGATTGAACCCCAGACCTCCTGAATGCCACTTGCGTGCCTTACAATAATATCTCAAGGGCCTCCCCCCCCCAAAAAAAAAAAAAGAAAAGCGTGGTGGAGAGCGGTTGTAGCGATCGGAAGCAGAGTGTAGGGGTCACATGGGAGGGGGTCGCCTTCCGCGGCGCGCAGTGTTGTCCCGAAAATACGGAGGAGCGCTGGCTTTTACGGTCTCAGCAGGACCTTTGTCTGTCCACCACTTGAGGGTCGGGCTCCCTATGCTTTCTGGAGCTGTGATTGACTGTCGGGACGCCTGTGCTTTCTGGAGCTCTGATTGATGGTCGGGAGCGTACACTTTTTTGGTGTCGTTTTTTTTTTTTTCTTAAGCCTACACTTTGGGCGTCGCCCCCACCACTCTGGAAATGTGCAAAATGAGAATGAACTTCCTGCTGGAACATGGCCATATGCGCCCGCCACATTTCTGTCTGCAGCTGTGATTGCGGCCGACTATCCCGACCGACGCATTCTTACCGGGGGCGAGGTCCCACTTGCACGTATTAAGAGATCCTGGCCGTTGATTTTTGCCATATCTACGGTCAATATCGGTTAATTCGTGTAAGTGGGATCTTGGCCCAGTAGAGCTCTGAAAGGGCGGGCACGCGTGTCGCCTCCTCCCACCGCAGGACGCTGCGGACCGCCGAAAATTTCTTTCCCCGCCCTGATTTTTTTGAGTTTTTTGTCGTTTTCCGCGTCTCAAGATTCTGGGGCTCTGAACACCTCTGACGTACCGGGATCGCGAGACCAAGAGCCTGGCTGCACTGCTCGCCACAAGCGTAAAAGGAAAAAAAAACGATGGTCATGTATCTACCCATGTAGTACGGCTTTATTCAGTCTCATGTTGCACATTTGGAGAGTGGTGCAGCGAGGCCCCCAAGGCAACTGATCTGTGCCGCTCGTTTATGCGATCTGCCCTTCCGCAGTAGACATGTACAGGCTACCGCCGTAGGCCCGCCAGACTCTGCGCCTTGGTACTCGCCGTTCGCCAACAGTTTGAATGTATGTGGCTGAATATCAGTCCAGATGCATTCGGAATGTTCGAGGATGGCGTAGTGCAACTGCCGTAGGCCCGCCAGACTCTGCGCCTATGAGCACTACTGGTACTCGCCGTCCGCCAACAGTTTGAATGTAGCTGGATGAATATCAGTCCGGATGCATTCGGAATGTTGGAGAATGGTGAGTAGTGCAACTGCCTTAGGCACGCCAGACTCTGCGCCTATGAGCACTTGTACTCGCCGTCCGCCAACAGTTTGAATGCATCTGGACGAATATCAGTGCAGATGCCTTCGGAATGTTGGAGGATGGCAAGTAGTGCAACTACGCCCTCCAATAGTTGGAATGCATCTGGACGAATGTCAATCTCGATGCATTCGGAAAGTGTTAGAGGATGGCGAGTACTGCAACGACGCCCTCTGGTCTTCCCCCGAACACAACGTGCCGCGATGATGAATGTATACAAGCTATTTTTCCGGTCCGATACCGGCGTATGTTATTAACAAGGCCGCGGCGCCAAGCCCGACCTCCGACGTCCACTAGATTCTTCGGACCTGGCCGTCGGTTCCCCCCCCCCCCCCCCCCCCCCCCCCCTCTGGCCATCGATTTTATAATCTACGGTTGGAAGTCAAGGGGAGCCCTCGCCGCGCCACTCACCAAATGCACATAATAACGAGAATGGATCTTGTGCGACAACACAGGGCGATGCACCGTCATAATAAATAATAATAATAGGTTTTGTCGTTTTCACATTCGGTAAGTGGCGCGGCTACCAGTAGGCCCAAGAATCTGGAAAAGCGGGACAGGGGAGGAGAGCCATAGCGGCGAAAGGGATCCGAGGTGGGGGTGGGGGTGGGTAGTGTTTCTGGAAACCCCGCCATTGAATTGAAGCTGATGACGAAGAAGAGGGGGGAGGGAGGGGGGTAGAGTTTTTGGAAACCCAGCCATTGGAGAGCCTTGGGGATGACGAAGAAGGGGGGGTGGGTGGTGGGAGCGGAGGGAAGGTGGAAATGAGGAGAGAGGCGGCGAAGGGAATCTGATTTGAATATTGAATATGTTGATTATTATGAATATCACGCGCAAAGAGAGAACTTTTTTTCTTGGTCTGGTTGGTCCGCCATAGCTGTAGTCGGTGTTGTCGTCGTCGCAATAGTCATTCCAGAGCTATTGACATAGCTACTGCTATTCCCGAGGCTGTCGCCATAGCTACTAGCATCGAAGCTATCGGCCAAGCTGTCTCCATAACAAGGTTGCTGTTGACATCACCATCGGTGATGATCTTGGGAAGGAGGGGAAAGTGTAGGGTGGAAAGTGATAGTGAAGCGCGCCAGTGGCGGGAAAAGTGAAAATAATTGGGCAAGCTGATCGAGGTAGTGGATATGGCGGCTGTAGTGGTATTCGCGCGGTTTCCAGTGGCGGGAAAAGTGAAAACGAGATTAGCCGCGGGAATCGGTGACAAGGCAGCTTGTGAATTCTACAAGGCTTGCGCTGAACACGTTTTCAATGAAGCTAGCAGGTTTTACTCTCTTTCCTCTCCCACACCTGTCCTCCACCCTAGTTCTCTCTCCTTCCTTCCTTCCTTCCTTCCTTCCCTCCCTCCCTCCCTCCCTCTCTCTCTCTCTATTCCGTTGCCCTTTCTTCTTTCCCTTCCTCGCCTCGTTCTGTATTGGTGGTAGTGTCTGTGTGCGTCTCTCTCGTCGTTCTCTTTTCCTCCCTCCCTCTCCCTCCCTCCCTCCCTTCCTCCCTCCCTCCCTACCTCCTCCCTCCCTCCCTCCCTCCGTCTTTTCACCGTGGACTTTGCCTGCTCGCTAAGTTCTTTTAGCCATATCCATCTCTGTGAAGCTGCTTGGGAATCTGTGTCCTCTTTGGGTTCTCTCTCTTTCCCTCTCTCTTCCCTCCCTCTTCTCTCTTTCTTCCCTCCCTCTTCTCTCTTTCTTTCCTCTCTCTTCCCTCTCTCCTCTGCGTTCTCTTCAGTTGTCTTCATTTTCTATTGGCCGGTTTTTATCTGTCTCTCAGGTTCCACCCCTCTTGCGCCTCTTTCTCTCTTCCGGCGTCCCTGTATCCTCGGTACATCTTGTCGTTTTCCTCTCTCTCTCTCTCTCGCTCGCTCTCTCTCTCTCCCCCCCCGCTCTCTCTCTCTCTCCCCCCCCGCTCTCTCTCTCTCTCCTGCTCCTGATTTGCTACCTGCCAAGGAAATCTTTTTATTTTTCGGCACCTTCCCTCTCTCCTCTCTCTTGCTCTCCCTTCCTAGTTGCTTGCTGTATTGGAATGATCTGTTTTCCTCTGTCTGGCTCGCTCTTCCAGTTGCTTGGTGTATTCGAGTGATCTGTTTTTCTTTTTTTCTTCCCCTTCTTATTTGAAAATGATTTTATCCCCCTCTTCTCTCCTTTTGCCCCTGCCTTGTCACGTGGTACTCTGTCTCTTTCCTCCTCTCTCTTTCTCTCTCTTTCTCTCTCTTTCTCTCTTTTTCTCTTTCTCTCTCTCTCTCTTGTACCCCTGCTCTGTCCTTCTTTAAATCTTTTTCTCTCGTCCTTTTTTCTCTGTTTGATCCCATTTCCCCTCGGCCCATCGTCTCATTCCTTTTCTCTTTATCCTGCCCTGCATATCGTCTGCCCCTGCATAGAACGTACGGTCATTATCGCTGTATCTAGTCTCAAAGTTGCCCTGAATACACAGCTATAATGACAATACGTTCTATTTCGGGGGACGACGGTTAGTCTCTGTCCGTTCTTTCTTCTTCAGATTATCCGTGTTGCCCGTCTTCGGGTCCTCTCTCTCTCTCTCTCTCTCTTTCTCTGACTGGTCATCTGCTCTTCCCCCTTCCCCAACCTGCCCTCTCTCCTTCTCTCTCCCCGTCTCTCCCCCCCTCTCTCCCTCACTCTCCCTCACTCTCCCTCTCTCCCTCTCTCTCCCTCTTCCTCTCTCCCTCTCTCCCTCTCCCTCTCTCCCTCTCTGTCCCTCTCTGTCTCTTTGGTTGCTCGTTTCGCCCTTTGCCATCCGATTCCTCTCTTTTCATCTTTTTTTATTTCGCCGTCTCCCTCTTTGTTTTGTTCTCTCCCTCCTCTTTCCCTCCCTCCCTCTCTGTCCCTCTCTCTCTGTCCTCTTTATCTCTTTTTCTTTGTCTTTGTCTTTGAGCCCGTGCTCTCCTCTACCTTGCTTTGTCGTTTTCCCCTCTTTCTTAAGTAAGAGTGCAAGTTGTTCCTTCTTGTCTCTCTCTTTCTATTTACCTGACCGAGAGAGCTCAACCTTTCTATTTACTGTCCCTCCTTTTCCTCATTTCTCTTCCGCTCTCTCATCCGCATCTCTTTTGCATCTTCTTCTGCATTCCTCTTTCGCATGTCCTCCTTTCTCCATCCCCCCTCTCTCTTCTTCTCGCTCTGCCGCTCGATTCCCTACCCTCATCACCGATCTCCCGTTCCTCAAAGCCTTCCGCTAAGCAGACTACTTCCTTCTGGCACAATTTTCTTGCTCCCCTCCCCTCCCCTCCCCTCCCCTCCTCGTCAATTCTCTTTAATCTTCTCCTGCCATGTCTGTCCCCATTCTCTCCCGTCAATCTCCTCCCTCAATCTTCTCCCTCCCGCCTTTCCAATCTCTTCCCGCTCAATCTTTGCACTCCCCCAATCTCCCCCTTTTCAATCTCTCCCCGCCCAATCTCCCCCTTCTCAACCCCTCAATCTCCCCAACCCCTCAATCTCTCCACCCTCTTAATCTCCCAAACCCCTCAATCTCTCCACCCTCTTAATCTCCCCAACCCCTCAATCTCTCCACCCTGTTTATCTACCCAACCCCTCAATCTCCCCAACCCCTCAATGTCTCCACCCTCTTAATCTACCCAACCCCTCAATCTCCCTAACCCCTCAATCTCTTCACCCTCTTAGTCTCCCCAACCCCTCAATCTCCCCGCCTTTCCCGTCGATCTTCCTCCTCAATCTCCCCCCCTCTCCCGGCAATCTCCCCTCCTTTCAATCTCCTCACTCCTCAAATCTCCGCCACCCCCGAACTCCCTTGCCCTCAATCTCACTCTCCTTAAACCACCACCAGTCCTTGGCCCAACTATCGGCCGCCCAAAAAAATAGAGTAGAAACGTTTCTAGTTGGATGAATTTGGGCGCTCCTGTAGTGGCTCGTACGTTTCCTAAAATCGTGGCGCGTTAACGGGCTCAACTTTAGGAAGTACTGGTGGTTTAAATCACACCCGTCGAATCACACCCTCCATTTCCTTGCGCTCCCTCTCTCTCTCCCTCTCTCTGTGTCACCGTCTCATATTTGCACTCTGGCGCGTTTCCCCCTTTTATGCGAATTCTCGTGCTTGCTGCTTGGTTCTTCGACTGTCAATGTGCTGCCTTCCTTTTTTTTTTTTTTTTTGCTGCCTTCGTTTCTTTGCGAGTCGCAATTGAAAATCAGGAAGTGTGTTTACAGGGAAGGTAATCAGGGAGCGTGAGAAATGAATATATAAATATATAGGTTATCAGAAACTGCTATCGAGTGAACGAATTTCATAACAAGGGATGGATAGATTAGGGTATGAAAAGGTGAAAATTAGGGTGAATGCTGAATCGGTGCTGCGTAGGGTGAGAAAATTAATAATTGCAATGAAATAATATATTAATATCATTTGTATTATATATCGATTGTGGAGAGGGGAGAAAGAAATATTTGGAAATCTTGAACTGAGCGGAAGGCGCGGGGGG